GAATATTTTTGGAATATTTCTAACATAATAATTCGGAATATTTTCGGAATATAATTATTATTTTTTTTTTATAGGGAATGCAGCTAGGGCACCCATGCCTACAAATTATATTCATATAGAGGAACTCGGCAACAGTTTCCGAGTTTGCCTTTTCCACGGCTCGTGCTTCGGGCCAATGAGTTATATAATTAGTTACAACCAATATGTACTGGTTCAATTGAGCCGTACGAGGTAGGGGACCAACAAAATCTTATAGAAAGGGGCCGAAACGGGTATAGGGGTCAATGGTGCCTGCGTATGAGGCCGAGTCCTACGTTGATTAGGATCACACATTTGGATATACCTACGTATATCTTGGTACATCTGGGCCAAAAATACACATTGTGCACTTTTTCGAACATTATATTATGGCTAAAATGCCTTCCAAGTGGGTGAGTGTGCACCAAAAACATTACTGGGCCCACTTCGTGTTTTTGCAGCAAGTTCCCTTTTTTTATTGTTCTTGTACCTCGAAAAATTCAGATTTCTTAATTAACTTCTGTTGCTGCTTCTTATCTAGAGTTGGTGGCAGATATTTCGTATCCAAATATTGAGCCAAATATCAATAGTGGTCAGGCTCCATTCAAAAATTATTTTATGAGTGTGTTTGGGGGTTATTTTTTTTTTATTTTAATTTTTTTTTTACTTAGGGGGAATATACAAAAACTATTATGCTACTAGGTATAATAACAGAATACTGTTTATAAAATTCGAAAAATAGAAAACTAAAAATAATTCAAAGAAATTTTAACGGGGCCAGGATACCGGTAACCTGATCTGGATTTAAAAACCAGAGTTATGTATTACTATTATGTTTCTCTTTCTCTTTTTTTTTTCTTGTATATATATATTTTTTTTCTAATCAACTATCATTGACTGGGGTCCCAAACTCTTTTCAGGGACTGACGACAATACAGGTGGTTCTGAAATCCTCAACAATGTATCCACATTACTATGCTTTTTTCTACATCAATGCACAATCTGAAAATTATAGGGCTGTAACCGAAGTACCCAACGGGCCCTACATCCAGTTAATGCCACAGTTTGCAGCCACTTCAATGCTGCATAGTCAGTAACAACAATGAAAGGGTCCAGGCCAAAATAATGGCAAAAATATTCTATGGCCCACAAAACCGCTAAACCTTCAAGTTCAGTGGTGCTATAATTCATTTCAGGTGCTGTTAGAGCCCAACTTGCGTATGCTACAACATACTCTTTTCCCATATCATCCTTTTGGGCCAATACGGCTCCTAGTCCAGTTACAGAGGCATCGACATGCACAATGAAGGTTTTGTTGAAATCAGAATAGCAGAGTATAGGAGCACCTTCCTGTTCATGAGTCCATTCATATTCGACATCCTTCCTCAACAAATGGTGCAAAGGCCGAGCAATTGAAGCAAAGTTAGGAATAAACTTCCTATAGTACGAAGCTAACCCAATAAATCTACAGAGTTGCCTTAAGTTCACAGGAGCAGGAAAGTTCTGAACCTTTTCTACTTTACTATTATTAGGACGAACTCCCTCTCGTCTGATAATATGACCCAAGAAGTGGAGGTAGAGTTGGAAAAAGGCACACTTGTCATAATTCAACTTTAGACCCACGGCCTTTAGCTTTTCGAAAACAGCGGCAATATGGTGCAGGTGTTCGTTGAAAGAAGCGGAGTATATTACAATATCGTCGAGATATACTACAACAAATTGCTCAATGAAATCAGCCAGCATGTAATTCATTATATACTGGAAGGTGGTGGAAGCGTTGCAAAGGCCAAAAGGCATCTTATACGTGCCGAAAGGAACTGCAAATACAGTTTTTTCTCGGTCCTTTTCATTTATTTTTACCTGCCAATACCCAGACAATAAGTCTAGAGAGGTGAACCAGATAGGTCATCTATCCACGGAAGCGGGTACGCATCTTTTGTGGTTATAGCATTTACTTTCCTATAGTCGACGCATATTTGCAGTTTTTTACCCTTTTTTGGGACAACTATGATCAGAGAAGCCCACGGGCTTTTTGATTTGCGCACCAACTCTTTAGCCTTTAATTGTGCTACTTCTTTTTTAATAAAGGCATGTTTGCTGGGAGCAGCACGGTATGGGGCCTGTTTTACCGGAGCTGTGGTGCCAGTATTTATTTCATGTATAATGACCTCTGTTTGCTCTAAATTGTTTGTTCCGGTTGCAAAAATTTCCTTTCTCGCCAACAACAACTCAAGGGCTTTATTTTTTTTTTCTCTGGACTTAAAGGAGCATTCCTCACACTTTTCTCCAGATTTCCTTCAATGGGTAGTTTATTCTCAGGATCAAGGTTTTGGGTCGATAATTCCTCTACGTTAGCCAAACATACCGCAGGGCTGCAATAGTTGCTCCATGGGTTCTCAAAAAGTTTTTCATCGAGAGTTCCTTCAGTAAAATATCCTTCAGCTTCGTCCAAAGCCTCGTCGTCGTATTCGAACTCGTCGAATGTATCTTCACTTTTGGGTAGTTCGATAAAAAGTTTGTTTGGGAGTCCTCCATCTATAGAAATTGGTATCTCACTGGTTTTTCTGTTGTATGTCAAATACAACCTTTTTCTGCAAAATGCAGCTGGGCCCGAGCCTTCACAAACCAATCCATACCTAACAATAGCAAGTCATCGGTGGATTCGATTATCTGTAAAATTGTAGGGATTAACATATTCCTTATAGCTACTTTAAGGCTGTTAATTTTTCCTAGGGCTCGCTCTCGAGTACCATTTGCTATTACCACGACCGTTGGAGATGGTTCATCGATCTTTAATTTTAATTTTTTTATTATTTTTTTCAACATCAGGCTTACAGAAGCACCTGAGTCCAATATGGCAACAATTGGATTGTTCTTTACTTGAATATAACAATGGGCAGCAGTAGTTCATTCGTTATTTGGCGGCTGGACCACATTCGTTTTCATCTCTAATAGTTGGGTTGGTTCAACTACAAGAGGTCTTCTTAAGGCTTGAGCTATAAGACAATGCTGGTTCGGATATCGTAGAATAGGGTTCCGTTGTTTGATCCGGGTTTGATTTAAGTTTGATCAAACCCCAAATCAAACCAAGTAAATTTTATAAAAGTTTGAAATCAAACCAAACTCAAATAAAAAAATATCAAACTCAAACCAAACCCAAATTTTATA